GATACCAAACCGATAATACAAAGTGTAAGTCCCAATAATTATTGTTCGTCATCGTCGTCCTCCTCCACTTGTTCGTTGTAAGCAAAAACGTTCTTTAAATTTAATTGCCGCTGCGGCTTCTCTAAATTTAACTTCTCCCACTGTTGCTAAGCTGCATGAAAGCAAAGTGCTACAGCAGCGGGTAAGCATTGTCCAATTATTATTTTTTGTTTTGAAAAGAAATTTTAATTTTTTATTTTTTTATTAAAAAAATAATAGTTACTATTTTTTTAATTTATGAAATTTAATGACTTTGTTCCATGCTATGCAAACGACTATGCAATTTTTAAATATAATTTTGAAGGGATACATGTTGGAATTTTCTAAAAAATTAAATATTGAAAATTAAAAGGGTTTAAAAATTATTTGCTTTTAAGTTTTTAAAACTTTAAATATTTTTTTATACATTTAGAATATGTCATTTTAATTTAATGTATTTTATTTAAATTTGAATTGATTTTAAGATTTCACTAAATATTTTATTATTATTTTTAAATTGATATCAGAGATTTTAAATCCCAATTCAAATTATATTTGAAAATTGCATAGTAGTTTACAAAAATACCCATTTATTTTTTGGTCACATTGCTGCTGACCTTTATAGATTACGACTTCGTTGCCCTAACACACCGCACCTTCTTCACTCCAATTTTGACTGCGATAATTCGACGTAACCTTTTGTAAATATGTTTTATATATGTGCTGTTAATTATTTTGTAAAGAATTTTTTTTATATTTTATTTTCTTTTCTCTTTACAGCTGGGCTTACCGCCAGAGGTTCAATTGGAATTTGTCAATGGCGGTCATGGCATTAAGAACCCCTTGGCCATTGAAAATACCCATGGCCATCATCATCATCGTATACGCAGTATTGATTGTTTAGATGATATGAAGAAACCATCACTTATCGCAGATGCCAGCAGTGGCATCGGAGGTGCCAGCAGCATGAACGGCAGCAGCAATTGTAGTAATCCCAGTAGCAATAGTGAAAATAGCCAAGAATCTAATAATTTCGTTTGTCGCATTTGTTTGAAATCATTTTCACTGAAGCGTCTCTTGAATCGTCACATGAAATGTCATTCGGAAATTAAACGTTATTTGTGTACGTTCTGTGGCAAAGGATTCAATGATACATTCGATTTGAAACGACACACTCGCACCCACACCGGTGTCCGTCCGTACAAGTGTAATTTATGTGAGAAGAGTTTTACCCAAAGATGTTCATTGGAATCGCACTGTTTGAAGGTGCACAGTGTACAGCATCAGTATGCGTATAAGGAGAGACGGACTAAGGTAAGTAGATGTTGACAAAAAATAGTATTTTTGTTTTTCTTTTTAATTATTTTTCTTCTTGAAGTGAGAACTGATAGGGGTTTGAACATACAGAAAAAGACGTGGGCAAAAACATGTTTTTAATTTTCAAAATACCGAATAGTGGGGCCAATGTTACATGGGGCTATACCAAAACGGGGATCAATTCTATAATTTTCGGTAATGATATTTGACTCCCAATGTGGGTACAAAATACCATATTACAGTCAAATCGGTTGAAAAGCGTGTTCAAAATCTCCAAAATACCGAATATTGGGGGTGTGTCACTAAAAGATGACTACTCTGACACATAGGTCACTATTAATAATTTTTTAGTAGTGAGATTAAATACCCAATGAGAATACAGAATACCAATTTACATCCTATTTGGTTGAGAAACGTGACCAAAATCGCCACAATACCGAATATTGGGTGGTACCGTTATATGGGTCAATATAAATAATTTTTGGTATGGAGATGTCCTATACAATGAGAACCCAAAATAACAAATTACAGCCAATTCGGTTCAAAAAAGTAACCAAAATCGTCAAGTAACCAAAACATGGGTCAATATTAGTAATTTTTGGAATGGAGATCAAAATCCCAAAAAATACCGAATATTGCGTGGTACCGTTATATCGGGGCTATCCTGAAACATGGGTCAATCTTAATAAATTTTGGTAGTAAGATTTGTTACCCAATGAGAACCCAAAATACCAAATTACAGGCAATTCGGTTGACCAAGATACCGAATATTGAGTGGTACCGTTATATGGAGGCTACCCTGAAACATGGACCGATATATTCCCTTTGCAACACCAAAATTTCAGAGCTCTATCTTAAATATTGCGAACTCTATCTATGTGGGATCTCCGTTGAATATTTCAATGTATCGCAAAGGAAATGACAAATTTTATATACTCTCCACCTTATGGTATACCCTATTTTTTAAGAAAGTCCCTTTTATGTTATCCTCTAAAGAAAAATTTTTAAAATTTAAAAATCATTTTTATACCATTGAAAATACTTATCAATTTTTTCTTTATTTATTTTTTAGATGTATGTCTGCGAGGAATGTGGCCACACCACCTGCGAACCAGAGGTTCATTATATTCACTTGAAAGAGAATCATCCCTATTCACCGGCCCTATTGAAATTCTACGACAAAAGACACTTCAAATTTAATAACTCACAATTTGCCAATAATTTACTTGGACAACTGCCAATGCCGGTGCATAATTAGTTTGTAAGATATTCAAAAACATAAATCTATAAAATAAGTAAACAAACCACAACAAAAAATGGTATACAACTTGAAAAAAATGATATCTTACAAAAATCGAAAAAAACACAAACATTAAATTGAAAGAAAAAACTGCCTTATATAAAAAATCAGAGATTATTTTTTTTTTTGATATACAATATACATATATATTTAATTTTAATTTATCGTTAAACAATATTATTTTTATTTTGATACTAATGCTTTACAATCTTGTAAAAACTTGAAATTAGATTTTGATTTGTCCTTCACCACACACATTCACACCTACTTCCCCTTGTAACATTTTGCTGAGCAAATATGTATATAGGAAACAAAAATACACCGAAAATTAACATTCTCTCACCAAATTATCTATAAATTATTTAGTATATACATATACACCTATATGAATTGATTTAAAAAAAGAAAGTCAAATTTATTTTATTTTTTTTTAATTTTAAGTCAATTTCATTTTTTAGGTTAAGTGATGATATTTTTTTTAATATTGATGTTTAAACAAAAACCTTGCTTTAATTTTGAAAACAATTTTTTTGTGTGAAGCTTTTAAAGTTTTCTTCGAACAACAACAACAATCATTATCTTATCTTTACTTGAAATTCATATTTTATTAATGATTTAAACAAAATGTAAATAGTTTTTTCTTTTCTTTAAGGGTTTTGAAAAAGGGACATTCCCTTTCTCATCACCTGGAATTTTTGTACAAAGTTTTATTTTCTTCTCACCACCTTCTTCATTATATTTTTTAATGTAAATTCTTTTGTAAAGTGTTTTTTTTTCTTTGTAATTTTAAGAAATTTTTAATTTTGATTTTTTCTTTTAACACATAAGTATACAATGAACCTCATAAAATTATTCAAATTAAAACTTAAACAAAAAAATAAGGAAATTTGTGGATTATTGAACAAAATTTTCTTTATCTAATTTCATTATTTTGAATGTTAAAAATTAATGCAGAAAATTTGAAATTTTATTTTTCTGTGAATTTTCTTGAGTTAACTGTTTTCCCCTAAGAATTCATGAATTATAATTTATTTTTGTTTCTTTTGGAGAAATTAAATGTAATGAATTTTATTTGTTTTTAATGAATTTTAATTATTATTTTTCAGTTTTTTTTTTCTAAATTTTAATTTAATTTTGATTTATTTGAAAACAAACAAAAAAAAACCAAACACTTAACATTACTAGTTAATAATTATCACGTTAAAATTAAATTAGCTTAAGATTATTACAACATCTTCCTCCAATCATTGTATATTTCAAGCTTTTCAAAACGACTTCCAATTTTATAAAAAAAAAACAACTACAAAAAACAAAACTCACAAGAGGCCTTATAAAAAAACAAAACAATCTATTGCTTTATTATAATTTATATTAGTTTATAGAACATAATATTAAAGTTGAATATAAAAATATACATATTAAAACAACAACAAAAAATATATTTTTAGTTTTAATTCCTTTCTTAATTTTATTTTCAATATTTTGCTGTTCATAAATGAATGAAAAAAAACATTTTTTCCTTTTACTTTGTTATATTACTAATTGTTTAAGAGAACTGATTATTTTTTGTTTATTTGAAAATAAGTTTAAAACAACAACAACAATATGAAAAACAGCTTTACTTGCAAAGATATATAATTTAAAAATATATATAAATGTAACTTGTATTTTATTTTGTTTATAAACAGCAAAATACAAATTACACACACAACACATGTATAGGGAATTCAAAAAGAAATCTTTTCGAAAACAAAAAACAAATCCAAAAGATTTCTCTTTAAATTCTAAAAAAATACTGCAACACGAATTGTGGCCACATAACGGAGGCCCATGGTGTAGTATTCCCAATTCCATTTTATATAGATTTTTTTATGAAACATAATCATCGGGTTAATTGTGCAATCAATGGTGATGGTTTTATTATTATTTTATTTTAAAAAAGAAAAAAAAAAACTACAACAATAGTATAATTTTAAGTTCACATGCACAGACGCACACACACACACATAATAGCAATTATTTGTTTTAAACTATTTACCCCCAGTTTTAATTAGAATTCTTTGTTAACCTTGGATTACTTTTTTTCCTTATAATTTAATTTTATTATTTTTTGATATTACCCTCAAGAACAACTGCTGCGCTTTAATTTATTTGATCTTTAGATTTATGTTCTACTTGAAGAAGAAAACATATGATCGATCGTTCGTCCAACCCACCCAAAAGTGTTGACACTCTACTTTTTTTTTAGTTAGTATGTAATAATTTTTTATTTTATTTTTTACTACCATGTAGTCTTAGTAGTTTCAATCTCTTGACATGACTCCCACCCCCACTATAACTTTAATTTGGCTTTACGATTAAATTACTTTAATTTGTATACCACCAATGATAACCTGCTTCTCATTCTTCCATTGGAAAAAATTTTTGTTTGATCTTTTTTTATTATTTAAAGAAAAAAAACACCTCCCCTATTTTATAAGCTCTATTATTAATGAATTATTTTAAAATGATCGAACAAAATGAATAAAATTTTTAGTTTTAATATTTTTAATTTTAGTTTATAATATCAACAGTTGTTGTGAACTATATATATATATATAAATATATAATATGCATTATAAAACAACGCATATACTGCTGAATAAATAAAATAAAAATGTTTAAAAAAGTGAATATTAAAAAAAATGTCTTTTAGTTGGATTAAGGGATTAAAGGTTTATTATTACATGCTCCGATTTTCTATGAATATTTTTAGAAGTGATGGAAGAGTTATACCGTGGATTTTAAAGAATATTTTTTGAAGGACTGGAAGAGTTAGAAGCGTGGATTTAAAAAAAATATATTTTTGAAGGACTGGAGAAACTTTAAGCGTGGATTTAAAAAAAATGTTTTTGAAGGACTAAAAGTCTAAAAGCGGAATTAAAAAAAACATTTTTTGAAGGACCAGAAGAGTTATAGGCGTAGATTTTTAAAAAATATTTTTTGGAGGACTAGAAGAGCTATAAGCGTGGATTTTTTAAGAATATTTTTTGGATTTTTAAAGAAGAGCTATAAGCGTCAATTTTTAATGAATATTTTGTCGAAGGTCCAGAAGAGCTATAAGCGATGTGCGTGAAAATAAATTCAAATTTGAAAAGCGAAGACACTCACCAGTTTGTGTGGTTGTGTCCAGTATGACAGTTTTGTTATACAATATAACAGATTTTTTTGACTGTAAATTTGAATTTAGAACAAATAAATTCAATAACCAATATAAAGAGAAAAAAATTATTTGGCAAAGTTTTAACTAATTTAAACATTTACTTCACAGGTAAATTCATTGGTGGTGGATTTATTGTGGCAAGAACACTACTTTTAATCCGTGTGCACGCATCATCATTGGGCTCCTTCATAATATATTCATTTTTAATTGTATATAATGTATGCTATACTTTTATGTAATTTTGTATAATTTTATTTAATTTTTTTTTTAAATATTACTGCAATGTAAATATGTCTTTGCTAATGCTTTTTGTCACTTGCATGTATTTTCTATTTCAAATATGTGAAAATTGTTTATGTTTTATTATAAATACAAACATTATAAAATAAAACTGTATATATTTTTATATTGCTTGTATGTGTATTTTTGTAACTTTCACTTTCATTATATATGCTTCATGGTTTATGTTTTATAATAAATAAAATTTATGATTTCACTAACCTAATTTTTAATTATTTGTAATGGTGATATTTAACCACACTTTGGATTCGCTTTGTATTTAAAAGGTAAAAAATAAAAAAAATATTTAAAAGAGGATATATATATAGTATAAGCACTATTTGAAGTTCGTAATTTAAAATGTACGGATACCTATATGAAATTTATTTCGGCACCATTGGATAGGCCATGGAAAGAGCTTCTAGACCCAGCTTTTATTTTGGTTCAAATATGTTAGAATTTTAATTATTTTGAATATTCAAAAACCTATACGAAATTCGTTTCGGTCCACTGTGCGAAAATTCTACCCAGTACACCCATAGACTATGCACCATTGGATGGGCCATGGAAAGAGTTTCAAGACCCAGTTTTTATTTTGTTTCCAAAAATGTTAGAATTTTAGTTATTTCCAATATAAGAAAACCCCTATGAAATTCGTTTCAGCCCACTGTGCGAAAATTCGACCTAATACACCCCTAGACTATGTACCATTGGATAGGTCATGGAAAGAGCTTCTAGACCCAGTTTTTATTTTTTTAGGAAATGGGTCTATTTCATTCCAAGACTTCGCAGATGAAAATTCGATCCATCCTATTTATTTTAGTTAATTTTTTTCTTTTTGAATCCAGCTTTGTGTAATTGGTTTAAACAGTTTTTTGGTTAATTTTTAGCTCCTGGACGATGTTACGACTTTATTTTTCCCCAATCTATTATTATGAAAACTGTTCGTCTTGCAACGAATGAAAATAGAATGTAGACTGAAAAAATAGCATTCAACACATCAAAACACATAGAGAACATACAAAAAATATATTCTCTATTTGTTTTGATGCGCTGCTTTGCGTGGTTTTATATTTACCGGGATCGGGATCGGTGTTGAGAGTTTCTCTCTCTTGAGAGAGTAATTAGAGTTGCGCTATTTTTAATTTTGTAACAAGCCTACTTTTTGTCCACAAAAGGTACGAATTGACATAAACGTACCAAAACAAAAATTTGATTTTTTTATTATTCGTGAATACATTTACGCTTAAATTATAATATATATTATTTATGCAAATAACTGGTATAAATATTGGCCAATATTTCTCGATAATTATGATTTATTATCATTTGAAGTAGAATTTGAGGTACCTTTTCGTACGTTTTTGTTCCTACCTGTGGTAATGTTTTCCAACACAATTCACAATTTACCACTGAGAGAGAGAGAAACTCTCAACACCGATCCCGATCCCCACAAATATAAAACCACGCTTTACGAAAAAAATAACGGTACCTGCCGTTGCATTTTTCTACAA